CCAGCCTCCCCTTCACCTACCCGGGAATTAAAAAAAGCTGAAGGGTTTTAAGCTGGTTTAAAGTTAACAAACTGCATTTAATTAGTTTTCCCACATCCTGTAATCTGAATGAAATGCATAATATTTAAGACTAGACGAGTTTTATAGTATTTATGATTCACTGAATAAATATTTAGAACCCGAACTCTTAGTAATTCATACCCATTTTTAAGGACTGGTTATTTACTGTCAAGCAGGGGAGAGCCCGTTAAAAAAAAAAGCTAAAATAATTAGTGTTCCTGTCGAGTCATTTTAGGGTTGGGTTTTTGTTTCGGATATTTTCCTTCCTCGAGTTTTTTTTTGCTTGCTAGTGCTCTATTTGAAAAAATGTTTGCATTTGCATTTTAATCCAAATCAATTATATTTAGAATAGGTGTGAATATAATGCCGACTGCAGAGCAGCAGAAAAAAATCCCCCCAAAGTATTTGTGCCCTTGAGAGAAGAGAGTTTAAGCTTACTTTAGTATTCCAGCAGTGAACTTTTTGTTTCCCCAAAAGTTTGTGCTGGAAACTGCATATGATAATTGTTATCTTGCTGTAAGGAAATGCAATTGTAATTAAATGAATAACTTTTTTTTTTTTGAGTAATTATTCTTACATGAGAGGAGTCATAGCCATCTTAAAAAAATGTGTTTTCTGTTTTAACTTATCTGGTAGAATATGCAGACTCTTCAAGTTTTTTTATGCAATTAGAAGAGAAGTTAAACTCCTGTGCAAAATACATTTTTTCTTTGCTTCAAGTTGTTTAATTTTTCATGTTGCATTTTAAATACAGTTTTATTTATTTATACTGTTATTTCATATGATTTCAGTAACTTCTCAGTTATAGTTTATCCTTCAGACCTTCTGGGTTAGTTATAGCCTCTTGCCACAATAGCATGTTTTCCTGTATTTAGGAACCAACTGGTGAACCATCTCCTAAAAGACCAAGAGGAAGACCCAAAGGAAGCAAAAACAAGAGTCCCTCTAAAGCAGCTCAGAAGGTGAGATTATTAAAGAGTTTCTAATGTTGTTTCTTTCATCAACTAGTAGCAAAGATCCAGTCATTTACTCTGTGAAACTGTGGGGTTGGAACCCTCTTAATAATGGAACCTCCATAAAGCATGTATTTTGCATGTTTAAGATTGGAATTAACATGCTTCATGAAGACCTTGATGCAGAACCTATAAGGGCATCTTGCTTTTTAGTAGTGTACAGATTGGTGAAATAACATAATGTGATGTATCTACTGAGATCTCCTGTATCTAGTAAGGAAATCATTATTAGGGGTATTATTTTCTTGAGATTTTTTGAAAAATCTTGAGATTTTTTGAAAGAGGAAGATTAATTTCTTGCCCACTTATAGTCATTACTGCTACAGACCAAATCTGTATATTAAAGCTAAGTGTTTTGTCAAACATAGGTTAATTAGAAGTAAATCCAATTATGTGTTGATGGAAATAAGTGCATATATTGAAATTTACAGCTTAAAATTGTGATGGTAAAGTAAACTGTGAGTTACAGTAAAAGCCTACTATGTCCTGTTTAGTAAAGAGGCTTTTACTTGAAGTGCTATTAGTCTCCTGAACCACTACTGTGATGGGGGCAAACTTTTATTCTGGTGGTTCTGAATACGTTTGGCTGTAAGAGAAGCTCCCTGAAGTCATTGCATTTGGTGCATAGACTTTACATCACAAATACTACATGAGAATGTGACCTAATTTCATCTGAATTGGGGAAAGCTCAGCAATAGGAAACTGCTATCAAGGCAAGTCATACCTTTCTGTAGGAATTACTGTAGTGAAGGCGAATAGTTGTGTACAGGCTTGAAAACAAACACAGGAGTTTTGTTTGTGTTGATGGTTACACAGCAGTTAGCACTAATTTACAGGTACTAAATTGGAAACAAAAGCTTACAAAGTCTGGTGCTTAAGTCTATCAGTGTCTTTCAAGCAGATCTGTGACAAAATGCGAGTAGAAGGTATTTGTGGCCTCATCTTATTGTGAGTCATTCTTCAGTGTGCTTCTGGTACTGACCATACTCAGTTTTAGAGTTTTCAGTGTTATAAATTACTATAGCAACTACCGATAAATATTAAATTATTAGGGGGTGACTATGGTTTCACGTCTGTTTTGTTGTGTTTTCAACATTTGTTGGAGGAACGTTTTCCAACTCTCTTTAAATTTAAAATTGTTTTTTACTTTCTGAGCTGGAAAATAAAGGAGTATATTCTGTCAAGAAGTTAATGAATTAGTAAAAAATGCTTTACAAGTTAAGTATATAAAAGATATCAAAGCCAGCCTGCAACCTGGTGAGCCTAAAATGTTGATTTTTTTCTTTATATACTAAAAATGTTCCTCAGATTCACTTTAAAATAGTTTAAATTTCACTCTTCAAAAGAGAGAGAGAAGGATTTTATTAGTCTGGCAAATCCAAATGTGAGGTTTAGTATTTTAAATATTACTCTTAGGAGTGTTGGCTTTCCTAGGAGAAATATTTGTAATAAGGTTTAATTTTAAATAATTCGTAGAAATGTGTTTTAAAAAGATATTTCTAAAAGAAATATTAACATTATTTTACTTAGATGAGTGATGTGGAAATCAGTATAAATAGAAAGTAACTGTAAAACATTAATATATATGTAGGTATATCAAATCAAGAGCTTTCCAGATGATTCTGGTACATAGAGCTGTTTTTTTAAATTCTAATTTATGAACTGAGCTATTTCATTGTAACGTTCTGATTTTCAGAATGCATCAAGTTACTGCTCTAATTAAAGCAAACCCTTTCTGGTGTTGATAATGTAAAAAATTGACTAAAGACTGCGTTTCTTTTTTTATCATAAAAAACCTCCCAACCTTTGAGGCTTATGTGGTTACAAGTCTTATTTGTTTCTAGGTTTATAGGTAAAGTATATAAAAGTTTGATAAATCCTCTAAAACACAAAACACTTAACAAAGCCTTGCTAGACGAAATTCACTGAGATCACATTTCAAATAAATATTTTAGCTCTTTTTCCAAATTGATAATTAACTCTCTCTAAAATGGTTCAGCTTCTCACCAGGCATCTTAAAATATCTTTTTATGTAGTATTAATTCCAATAGTTTTTCTGACAGTAATGTGAACAGAAAGGTTTTGGCACTGTAAGAAAGCTTCATTCGGTGGGGAGGGTATCACCTCTTAAAGGAGGGAGCAATGTGTTTGATTTTGTGGTAAACTTACTTGCACATACACATGTGTGCACATATATATTTCTGTAAGGCTTTCTCCAGCCTGTCTTAGCTCTAAGGAGCAGAACTGCCTAACTCAGCCTAAGACCCTCTACATGTGAACCTGTGTCCTGTACACGCAATTGGAAATTGCTGGAATTTCTGAAGAATAATGTGTGGCCTCTGTGTTTCAAAGGGAGCTCATTGAAATGTATTAAGAGTGTTCACAACACGTAAGATAAACGTCAGCCAGGAGAACCCACCAAGCAGCCATGAGAAGGCACTCATGATTAATTGATTGGGTGTTCTCTTGCAAACCATTACACATCACAATTAAAAATGTATTGCACAAACTGGCAGTGAGTTAAAAATACTCCAGAACTGGGACTTTGTTTTGTTGTATTTCAGAAAAGGAAATAACCTTAAATCAGTTGGGGGCTGATTTACCCTGGAATCGTGGTTGTGTTGTGGATTTAAAATTTCTTGGTTCACAGGCTATTTTTTTAATTATTACTTTTGTTTTTGGGCTTTCAGAGCTTGCGTTTGGTCTTGGTAAACTGGCCTTGGGGCATCTGAAAACAAACTGTGCTTGTTAGGAAATTAGCAATGTGAAACTTCACAATGCATACAGAATGTTGCAAGACCAATTGGTCAGCTAATAATGTGGCAATTACTCTAATTTTAGGCAATACACGTTTTTTTAAAAGCCTTGCATGTCACACATACCTAACCTGTTATAAACTGGACTCAAAAGATGAGCTGCATTTTATAGAGAACTAAACCATCTCTCAAATACTTAATTTTCAGGAGCAGGAGCACAACATGTTAGCAGATGGGAAGAGATAGACACAAAAACACTCTTAATAACCTTGTACTTGAGTCCTTACAATTAGGCTGTTATTGAAGTCTGCATCTTTAAAGGAGTCATTCTGTTACTCATTTCAAATATTTGTAAAAAATTAGCAAAAAAGTGAAGTTTTTTTTTCCCCCCTAAAGAATGACTAATTTTGTATGAAGATCCTAGTAGGGATGTTCCTTGTTAGTTTCCTGGGTGTTCTGTAGTTGAGTTTTATTTGTTAGGGTGAGCTATCTTCACAGCCCATCACACTTCCCTTAAGCATTCAAGGGCTTTTCTTTGTTTAGCTCCTGTAGTTGAGTTTGAAAAAAATACTATGTAGGTTTAAATACTCTCCTGTTTGGAAGGAGGAAACGCAATTGTGAGGTTAGAAAAAGAAGTAGTAGCAGCTACTATGTGTTTGTCTCCAAAGAAAATGTAAAGAGATATCCCAGGAATATCCAAAAGTAAACACTCGCCAGTAAAGTTCACCTTCAGTTAAAGTATTCTTTTTTTGTAGTTATTGATGCAGTGAAGTTCACTGAAAATACCTCCAGATCCTCTGAAAACCAGAACTTAAAGAGCACTTACTATTGTCTCTACATGACATGGCCAGAGTTTGGTATGTCGGAAGGCACGTCCCTAAGTTAAGCAGTCCAAAGGCAAAAAAAAAAAAAAAAAAAAAAAAAAAAAAAGAAGGCTCACGTGACCAGGACTCTGCCCTAAATTGGTTTGTGAAAATCTGTTTGGCTTCTCCATGCTTCATTCATTCTCATGAACACCAGTCATTACGAGCTTAAAGGGAAAACAAGATCAGATTGATCAAGTGATCATAGCATGGTTATTGTACTTAAAAAATAAGAAACTTCAAAATCAAGTGTTTTGAGCAAGAGGGGAGAAGCAAGAGAAGGCCTGACTCATGGTTAGGTTTAAAATGGGTAAAACAGGATGTGGAAAGTGTGATACTTTTGTATCTAGCCAAAACCTAAGTTTCTTTTAAGAGTTTTTTAAAAACAAAATAACTTTTTGTTAGAAGATGGGTATGTTCCTGGGCAAGGCCTTTTGATGTGGTTTGACATCAGTGATCTTCCTTTGGAGAACTCCCAGTTATTTCACCTGACTCACAGCTCTGCCATATTTTATCTGAGGTCTCCAGCAGATCATTTTGCAAAGTGGATAGAGTTCTCCAAATATGGATTCTGTTGCATTTGAGACCTTCCTTGACAATAGATGGATGCCCAAAGAGCGCTTCATAGCCATTCAATTATTTATACATGTCTTGTCTTGTTAATTGCATTCAGTAGTACGCCTCAGTTTTGGTCTGGGCACGGCACATTTGTGCAACGAAAAGGCAGAAATAGTGGGCAGGCAGGTCCTGTGGTTGCTGGTAGCAGGTATTTGGAAGCAGGGTTTGACGGCCCTCTGGTACAGGGCTGAGGAGAATTGCAAATCTGCCTGGGGACTCTTAGCTGGCTTCCAGACAGCAGTGACTGGGATGACTGTATCTCTCACCTGGGACCAAAAAAACCCACCCCAACCCTATAGATCTTGCACCTGCAAGCGAGTATCTCTAGTTCAGTTCCTACAATGTGACATTGCGAAAATTATGTATTCGCATTATTGGTTATAAGAAGTATAGTAATTTTTCATGAAATACCATAGACTTGCATTTGATAACAAATCCTCATTTAAGTTTGGTGATTTCATGTCTTAGATGTATGGGGCAAGATCACACCTCATAGTGTAGCCCCAAATGTTAAGAAACTCCCGATGTAACACATCTCAGTTTCCAGAAGTGCATCAGAGGGTGAAGGCAGCAGCATAATTTTGGGCTAAGGAGGTGCCAGCTGCTGTGTGTAGGCTGGCTGGGAGCACGTGTGTCTTGCTGCCCACACGAGGATCCGTGTTACCTCTGGTGGCTTGGGGCTCTCTCTGGATTTCTTCCTAGCTTCAGAGGTAACACTTCAATTAAAGGAAAGAGCCAGCAGACTGGAATGTTTCTGATTGTGCAAATACCTGTTTCAGAGGAAAGGCAATGCTTTGGCACTTACGTGTTCCTTATTAATTACTTGAAAATTTTATGGAGAAACATTGAATTATTTGTCTGATATGCAATAAAACCTTTCTTCAAGTGCTTAAATGAAAAGACAGTCTTGTGCTGTTGGAGAAAATACAGGCTGTGCTTGCAAAATGCAAACTAAAACAAATCCAGTGGGAAAGAGGTGGAATATTTTCCCAAACTTCATGTCTTTATCATCACCACTGGACCACCACTGCTCCTTTTGGTTGTTTGAGAAGTGTTTTGTCTTTCTGTTCCTTTGGAATGGAGATAAAAATATCCACTTTGGAGGTTCTTGTCCTTCATTTTCTGCAGTTTAGTCTGTGGAAACCTTCCTATTTACTTACAGAATCCCTCTGTGCCAGAACATCGTCTCTGGCATGCCCCGCTGTTTGCTCAGCTCACCTCTGGGAAAGATTTGGTTTTGATAAGAACTATGGAAATGTTTTTCTTCTAACATGAGGTGGAAATCATATTTTTAATATAGTTGACTTTCCATCTAAAAGGTCCCCAAGCACTTGACAAACTGATATCCAAACTAGCCAGCAGGAACACCAGCCACTTCTGACATGGACCTTCCTCAGGGATAAAGCGCAGCACCGGTTGGGGCAAGCGGCCGTGCAGCATGACAGTTTATGGCAGGAAGCAAAGATTAGTTGTTAAAAGAAATCTCTCATGTTCTCTTTCCCATCGAGTTACTACATTATATGCTCTAGTTAAAATTTGTGTCAGGTTTGTAGGAGCTTTAATTGGGAGATCAAAATAGTTTTCGTTTCCAAAACCTTATTTTTTTTTTCCATTGAGCTTTGAAGAAGGGTCTTTACTTCAGATGCAGTAAAATACAAAAGAGAATAAATGGCATTTGTGTTTTGATAACAGGTGTTGATTTGTTAAGAACGGTTTTAATATTTTCTTTTAAGGTTTGATGCCTATTTTTTTGTGAAATAAACATAAATGCAGGGGACTACAGCTTGTCAAAACCAAACCACATCTTTTTTGCATCCTTCAGGTTATAAGGTATGAAGAAATTAATTCTTTAAAAGGAAACAAAGCTCTGAAGTAGACAGCTGCAATATATAGTAAATGCACTTCAACAAGTATTCTCATAAGAGGGTTTCATCTTACGTGTAACACTGGTATAAACGATTAAAGAGCAGGTTTACTCTTTTAACAAGTCTGAGTGATAATTTTGCCCTTTAGGAGTGTGAATTTTATTTTTCACAGTTTTCTTCTTGGCAAGATATTTATTTCAATGTAATTGCATTTAACTTGCAGGGCAGGTTTTTTGTAGAGATTCCTCCGCTACTTCCTCAGCTCAAGTTCTCTTTTAGAGGGATCCGATTTACACAGCATTAGGTTACAGTATATATTACAGAGATTGACCAGCAAGTGATTTATTGAATGACACAGTTGATTTCTAAGGGCAAATCAAATACACATACAGCTAACTGGAAAAAAAAGCAATTCATGGAAATGTGGAAGCACATTTACAGAATGTAAAATGAAAGTTTGGGGACTTCGTATGTGGCAAGTCTAAAAACCACCTGTTTTTTTAGATTCGCCAAATACAAAGTCTGGTGGCAAAATCCTCATCACCCTTAGTGGGACGGGATTATTTACCTGGTGAGAGCCTATCCAGAGAAAATTACCTGCAGTTTTCATTTTAAAGCCAGCCAATATTTCAATATAGTGCATAAGTAGTAGTATTCACTGTGTAGCACAGTGAATTGATGCAGGAGCGCGTTAAGAGAACCTATATTTCCTTTACGCTGAGCTCCAGAAATGATTGCTGGTCCTATATAAATACAGCCGTCGCTTCTAGGGCACCTTCCATGCTGTTTGCTCAACCCTGAAAAAGGGAAGGAGTGTTTTGGATCAGTGAAAGGTTAACTTACAGCTTAAGGATGTGTTTTTACCTGGAAAACTTCTTGCGAAGTAGAGAAGTTATGTCCCAGGATGAAGACAAACACACGTTCGTGGTGATAGTCTGTCCAGCTCCATTTCGTCGTGCGTGAACATCATGAGATTAAAAGAAAGAATTGTGGCTGCTATAAACTGCTTTGTTCAGACAGTATTTTTGATTTAGTGTCTTCAGGTAATTTCTGACAGCCTGTGAAAGACTAGATTTGATGTTATTGAGAGTTCTCAGGTTCCCACCCTGCCCTGCACCCCCATCCACAGCCTGTGTGCCCCATGGCCGGCTGGACCATCCCGGCCTGCGCTGTGGGCACCGAGTGTCTGTGTGTGTGTGTGGATGCTCCTCTGTGCCCCACATACACTGTGTGGGTCAGGGCTGTGGGCACAGGCGAGGCATCCCCCGGCCACCCTGGCTAGGAAATGTCAGGAAAAAAACAACATAATCACATTCCTCCAGAAACCCTGCAGAGCGGGAAGGGGGGCTTGGTGCCACCCAAGAGATATAATTATGGATAATGTTACAGGAAAGGAGCTCCGAGTTACTGAGGCTGTTAAATAATGCTGAGGTATAAAATATGTTGTGTTTCTTTTCCCTTTACAGAAAGCAGAAGCCACTGGTGAAAAGCGACCCAGAGGCCGGCCGAGAAAATGGGTATGTATTTCACTTCCAATCATTTGATTTATTTGCTGTGTTATAAAGCGTTTTATAAAGTCCATTCTTCTAGAGAGCAATTATTTCTGCTCCACTTGTAAAAAAGAGCATCCATCTTCTGTGTCTGATTGTTCTGGTGGATTGACTAAAGGGTTAAGATAGCAGAAAAGTTAACCACAGCTTCCTACCTTTAGACTCTGGTAGTTTGCTCAAGACACTTTACCATTAAATGTTTGCTGGGAGTGAATATTTATGTGTCTCTTATCAGCATGAAAAGAGGCACAACTCTTCCTTCAAAAGAGAGTAACAATGAGATAACTTGTTCGGTAATTGAGTAACAAAGGTTAAAGGGGCACTATCAGACATCAGAAGGTGATTAAGAGAGGTGATAACATTCAGATGTAGGGTGCACAAGATAAAGTTTAAAAAACGTAAATATCTTTGTCCTACATTGCCTGGAAACAGCATGTTTTCCTTAAATCCAGCAAGAAAGAGCGAAAATGAACAATAGGATACTTGCACTTAGAATTTAGTTTTTCCATTCTGGGCCATCTTCATGCATCATATAATTGTAGCGGTGGATGATAGGTCTCATTAGAAGTTTTGTCTTTCCTATTTGTGGCTATCAGACACATGTTTTGATTCTTTGGCCGTGGAAAGTTTTCAGTCTCAGATACTTGAAATTCTGTGTTCTCAGTGACGTTTACCAGCTAATGAGAGTTTGTGCACCTCTCTGCACGTCTTTCACTTATGCATAGGCTTTCAAAAGAAAATTGGTGGGGATGTCACTTGGAAAACATGATCGGGTATTAGGAGATGGGCAGGTATGGCCCTGTGCTCCCATCACAAGTTAACATTTCTGATTTCCCTTTTCCTTTATCTAGTCATCATTTTTCTTTAAACTTCTGCTTCAAACCCATCCTTCCCTGTCTCAGTTTTACTCCCTTGTTTTACTCTGCCTTCTCTTTCCTCTCTACAGTCTCATCATTTTTCCCTCGTTTTATTCGGTCCTTTTGCATAGATGGTAACACAATGGTAAATGTATACACTTGCAAAAGCACAAGGAGTGCCAGAAAGCACTTAAAACTACAGCCGAGTTTCTCCAGTGTATCAGCAGCTACGCACTGGAGAGATGGCTTTAACAGTCACTTGAAGAACTAGTTCTATAGCATTGTCCAGTGATAAAGTCCCCCAGGATATTTCTTTGGAGAAAACAGACCATGATGTACTAGATGAATGTACATGCTTATGCCTGTCGTTTTTATGTGAAAAGACTCATTGGCATTAGGAAACAAGGTGGCGTAATCAAACCCACCTGTGCTGGTGATCTTCCCAAAGGCAGAAGGCAAATACCATGTGCAGTAAAACGTGGATCGACTGCTGTCTGCTTCCTCCTGTCCAGCTCAAACCTTGCGCGTGTGAATGCTGAGTGTTGCTTGGTCTTCACCTTGGGTGCAGTCGCAGGGGAAGCAGCAGAAATAACAGGTTAATGAGAGTTACTTCTAATGGGCAGTCCATCCCTGCTGGATTGTGGCTGTGCGACAGTTGAATAGGGGTGGTTGAAGAGCTCTGCGAAAAAGGGAACATGCAGCAGGCTGAAATGTTAAAAATACTGTCTCTCCCAAGCACTCACAGTTTGAAACTAAGGTGGATTTTCATTGAAAAGGGCTAAATATAATGCTTGTGACATCTTTTAGTCTAGGATGTTTCCCTTTTATTTTTATATCTTCATGGGGAGGAAAGAACAAGCAGTGTCAGCGGAGCATTAAGTTTAGTGTGGGCTCTTTGGATGAAGAATCTGATCTGCAGAAATGGGAATTACTGGCTGTCTAGTAGGCATATGTGTTACTTTATTGTGAGACTGTTACTTGCAACAGTTTAACTAATATTTTTGAAACTAATGCATATTTTCAAACCTGACATTACTCTGCTGTTATGCCTGTTGAAAGCACAGTCTTTCTTTGCATATTCCGGGGATATGGTTGCTTCTTGTGATTTTCATAGGTAACTCTCCTATCTGCCATTTGCATTCAGATAATTCTGTAGAATAAGAGAAGAAAATATGTCTTTTTTTGCCCCTTCTCTTTCCTCGGAGTTTCACGGGTCCCTCCTCTATGCGTGATGAAAAGGGGAGTGACGTTAACATTTTTCTCCAGAAAGGTATCTTAATTATTATAAGCTTTCATGGTGCCAACTATAAGCAAAGCTTATAGTTTAAATCAAGGAAGGATTCTGCGTAAAAAGAGATGACACTGTGTCATCCTTTCTGCTTTGACATCCGACATATACTCAGAAAATGTCCCTTTTTATCAGCGAAACTTCAGTTAATTCCGTAGCAATTATTTTCTTCTTTAATCCAAATTATATGTGTATCAAGCCTTAATGACGAGTCTTCTGTATTAATGAAAGTAAGGAGTGTGTAGGGTGGGGTTTTGTTGTTGGGTTTTTTTTTGAAAGGGCAGAATTCTGTATGGCAGGTACTTTCCTAAGTTTGTAACCCATTTTTACTAGTCTAGAGGTTCCGTCATATGTTGTTCATCAGATTATAAAGTATTATTTCTGCTGTTTCCTTCAATATGCACATCCAGAGACATACAAGCTAGCAGACCACTGTAGAATTCCGGTAGCTGGTCTTGCTGCCGGTTCAGATTAAATATTTAATGTTTGTGACTCACAATGTATTTATTTATATATTATTTTGTAGAAGAGAAGTAAATCTTTTTGACTAGTATAAAACTAGGAAGGGGGAGGGAGAGCCCAAGTGAAGAGGGCAAGGAGCCCAGTTTATCACAAGCATAAGAAACATCTGATAGTATCTTTTTTTTTGTGTGCAATAATGCATACCTTGCAAGATTATCAAGGAAGACCCTTGTCAGTAGAACAGAGGGTAAAGATTGACAGACTCCTCTGAAAATAAAATACTTAGCTACCTAGAAAAACCTGAAGTGTAGAGAGCTAATTGAATAAAAATCTTGAAGATAACAAGGTCAAGCAGGTGCGAAGTGAATATATTTGGAATCGGAAACACAGTGCCTGCTGCTGTAAAACTCATCTTCACTGCAGATTGCTGCACGTGTGTGGAGCACGTTGGAGGCTATTAGTCTGATTAACTGAGAGGGGAAGTAAACCTCTTCCTGACCTTGGTACTCTTTAGTTTTAGAGTTTTTAATGCAAGACCATATTCCAAGCTCTTTGGATGCATCTGCATTTGTGGTCTAGGGCAAATCAAGAATTTGCTTTGAAAATACTTCTCCTAACTGTCCCCATGTATTGTCTGTGTTGAGGAGCAGTCCTAGAGCTCATGGGCTGGATTCCTTTCAGATGAAACAGAAATGAAAGGTGTGCTGCAGAAGTGCAGGCTGGTAAGTTTTCAACCCAAAGGACTGGGCTAGAGTGAAATTAAAACTTCTTGAAAGGTGCGTGGTGTGGACCTTAGGTCCTCAACACCAGCCTTTTTTCTCCTGCTGGTCCACCTTGTCTCTGTATTGTAGATAGAGCTTTTGATGCTTGAAAAAGACGGGTGAAGCCCCCTCGGGTTTATTAGCAGAATTATTTTTTGTAGCATAGGTATAAAGTCAAAATCATAGCCATGGAGATTCACACTCGCAGAAGTCAGTGGAAGGTTTGTCATTGACTTTGCCAGTGCAGGTTTTTGCTCCTGAGCCCTGCTGCTGTTGCTGCTTGTGGAATCAGCAAGTTTCACTGGTGGCTTCACATAGCTCTTTGTAAAAACTCACAGTCAAGGCTTTTTTATTTTATTTTTGAATTTGTGTATGTCTAGAAGTTGGCTGAAAAGACAGGCCCGAAGGGTTGTTGTAGAACAGGAGACGGAATAATCAGTTATTTTGCTCTTTGTTTCAAAGAACTGGATTGAAACGCCCTGGAAATTTTATAGGCTCCTACAGCTCTCAGATGTCAGTTTAATGGAGAAATCTGAAACCTAGTTCTGATTTATTTTTTTTTTATTTTCATGGTTTTTGTTATGTCCTTAGATAGATTTTTTTTTTTTTTTTGCATTGTCTCATTTCATCTCCACATTGCTTAGTCTGAACCACAGATTTACTGCATGACATGGCAAAATTGCTCAAACACCCCAAGGAACAGTCCAGACATTTTTACAGCTTTGAGCAGGACTTTGGTGGGGAGGAGAGGTGGCTGGTGCCATGCCACTGAACTGTTTTAAAGGATAGATGTAGTTCTGGAAGCCACATGATTGTAACAGCAGAAGAGAATCAGCGACTTTCCAAGTGCAGGGTATGTGTGAAGCATCTGCTTGCATGTCGCGTCACTGATGCCCAGGTAACAATTGTAACTTCAGAAAATTTCTCTCTCTTTCAAGAATTTTATTTTCGGCTAGGTAGTCCGGGTAACACATTTCAGGTTGGTTGAAGATAAAAGATAATCAGAAATGAACTTAATTTCCTTAAGCAAGAGCTTTATCTGATCCAATCATGATTAACTACACATTATAGTACTTTTGAGGATCAGGTTTTCCCCTTTTTAATGGAGGCAGGGCTTTACTTTATGCTGAAAGTCAGGTTAAGTGGTGCCAAACAACGTTCAAAAAATAATTACAAAAATGCTTTTTTTTAATGACTTTTTCTTCAGATGATTTCCCACTGCAGTATTGACATAGCTGAGATATAAAACCTTAAATCTAGAATTTATGAGATGCTTCTATAGCAGCAGTTCCAGAAGGCCTGTGTCAAGGCAAGGACTCCTAATATTCATTCACTTGTAAGATTTTGAAAATGAGATTCTGAATTTTGAAGAAATACATATCAAGAGAACCCCATTGCCTCAGTAACCCCGTCAGTGTTTGGAGGTTCTTCCTTGCACACAACGAGTCTTTGCAAACCATTACCCAAGTAGAAATATCTCTCTGGTAATACCATGCGCTGTGATGTGAAGCTGTTTAACTAATTTTGCTTGTTTCTCGTTCAGTGGTAATTTTTGTCTCATATGAAATCATAGTCTGGGAGGTGCTTAAAGTCACAGAG